CGGAGTCTCTCCCAGTGAATTGTGGGAAAACTTGTCTGTCCTGGGCACTTGAAATTGTGGGAAGGCATCGGAGGACTACTGGCTTTCAAGTGGGTTTAGCTCAGTGGTTCTCAACCTGCGGCCCGCGGGCCACTTGCGGCCCAATCAGCACCAAGCTGCGGCCCATGTGACATCCTCAGGGCCATAGAGGTTGTATTGGATGTGGCCCACAATGGTAAATAGGTTGAGAACCACTGGTGGCCTGTGTCCTCACTGCAAAGTGGGTGGGTCACCAGCCTGAGTGGAAGTGGCCAGCTAGCCTGGGTTGAAAGCACCATAAACTCGAGTGAGAGGGTTTTGTGTGTGGACGGGAGGGGGGTTAGGGAAACACCCAGGTAAGAACCCATTGTGACCCTGCAGTGAAAACAGACCCTTAGAGTAAGGATCTGGGCACAGTGTTTAGTGGGAGACTTTGCATTCTACATCTTTAAGTAACTGAAGCTGGAAACGTTGCTATGTCTAAACAAACTGAGAGAGGATACAAGCGTGTCTTGAAATGTACCGATAGTTCTGCTGCTGGTGGTGGTGGCATAATTCCACCTGTTGTCTTCGCCTCCTGCCTCAACCCCAAGTCCACATTTTATTTTCCCAAAATGGTTCCATGTTTCCCAAAGCAGTTTTTTTTTTTTAAACGCCTGTGTCAGCAGCTCTCACTATTTGCAGCTTAACTGATTTATCCATTAGGAACTCGGGGAGCAGCTGGGCGAGCCCTAGTTTTAAAAGTCAGCCTGGTGCCTTTGGTCTCAACATCGGGGTGTAACTTTCCTTGGTGTGCCTGTTCTAATTCTAGTGCTTTAGCATGCATTCATCTCTAGAATACGGAGCCAGGGGCTCTCGCCAGAGCCTTAGGTGTGCGAGTCGAATCACCACTGCTTGGCTGACTTTAGAGGAGTTGTGCTGATCAACAGCAGTCTAATGTTTAAGAGTTAACTCTTTACCGGAGCAAATCCTAAACTATGGGTGGCTGGTAGTTTGGAAACAAGATTAAAGGAGCATGTTTTATCTGTGATGTGTTTCATGCATGACCCGGTTGAGATCCGGGTTAGACCAGCCTCTGAAATCCCACTTGCCTGGAATCTTTTCTGATGAGCCAATTAGTTTTGTCTCACCAGGGTAATGAGTGGTTTTCCCAGAGCTGATCCGCTGGATGCAGGGGTAGCCCATGCTCACAGCATGGCTCTGTCTGAGGTCCTGGGGTCAGTCCCTGATGCAGACAACCCGTCGAGGGGCATCGTGTTACGTGGGGAATGGAATATGTGAGCTAGGCTAGGGCAGGACGCTGTTTCCCAGGGAAATTTGGCTGTGACTTGGGACTTGTGCTCAGAAGCTTTAAAACCTCTTTAAGGAGGGGCCGGGCACTGAGGATCCTGCCCAGACAAAAGGGAGTGTGATAAAAGCCAACCCTTCCACGTAATGTTGGGGATACCAGCCAGGGACTGCGAAGGGGTAAAGCCAAGGGTGTGCTGCTAGAAACAGCTACACTGCAGGGACCTGAGTACCACAGAGTCACGCTCACCTTAAATCCACCGTCCCATGGAGTGGAGATCAAGCCACACTGGTCTGACCCGGGCTCTATTATGGCTGAATCCCTTCTGGGGAGAATGGGATTGTGACTGTGGCCTCGGGACAGGCGCTTTTCACTGTACAGCTTCCTCTGTGGCGGGGCCCTGGGGGTACTGCCGGGGAGAGCCAGGAACTGACATGCCCAGGGGTGGCTCTATGTTTTTTGCCACCCCAAGCATGGCAGTCAGGTGGGGGGCGGTGTGCTGGTTGCCGCGAGGGCGGCAATCAGGCAGCCTTCGGCGGCGTTTCTGTGGGTGATCTGCTGGTCCCGCGCCTTCGGCGTACCCGCCGCCGAATTGCCGCCAAAGCCGCGGGACTGGTGGACCTCCTGCAGGCATGCCGCCGAACGCAGCCAGACTGCCGCCCTCACAGCGACCGGCAGGCCGCCACCCGCAGCTTTCCGTCCCAGGCACACACTTGCTGCGCTTGGACATGCCCTGGGTGTCCTACCGGTGGGTGACTGCCTGAACGGCTCCCTGCTCTGCTCCCCGCCCCCTCTGACCGTTCTCTGCTCCTCTCCCCGCAGTCGTGGCACAAGGCCTGTTTCCGGTGCGCCAAGTGCGGCAAAGGCCTGGAATCCACCACTCTGGCTGATAAAGATGGGGAGATCTACTGCAAAGGTGAGTGCCCCCCTTCCTGGCATGCTGGCATCCCCGGGACCTGGGGGAGAGAGGAGTCCAGAGCGAAGTCGGGGAGGGGGCATTGTGGGTGTGCATCTTCAGGGAGAATGAATTGCTGACCCCAAACCAGCACACGAGATGCTGAGAATTGTAGGTCCTGCTAAAACACTGGGGGGTAGCTGATATTGAAATGTGAATGGAGGGAGGTGCTGTCCGAATGGCCCCAGAGGGGCAGGGATGTACCCGGGGAGCACCCCGCGTATGGGAACAGCGAGCACTCGGACTCTCTAGTGACCTGGCACCTTGTGGGTGCTTGTGGGTTAACGCCGCACCGGCCACACGGGCTGCAGAACCACTGGATCTCTCCCCACCTAGCACCTACAGATGACCTCACCCTGCTCCACTGGGGCCATAGCCATGCTGGTCTAGGTTTGTGGGGGCGGCTGGTGGCCTCTGGAAGTGCCAAGTGAGTCTAACATGTCAGTATCTTTCAATGGGAGTCTGTAAAACCCCTAATGCTTCTGCTTTTGAAAGAGGTGGGCAGTGCCCACCCTGCCTGCCCTAGTAGCCCCCTGGGGGGCAAGGGCATCACTGCCTTCATTTCCCCTTCCTGCCTATGGGGCTGTTGCCACCACATCCTCCCCTCCTCTCCCCCTACCCCCCCCGGGGGGAAAGCCAGGCTCCTTTTGCAGCTGTTCCCAAAGTGCTGCAGCCGGCAGCCGGGTTGCCCATGTGTGACTGGCTGCAGAGTCTCCTTGTGTGTGTGGCCCCAGCTCCGTACGGGGGAACTCGCCCTGCTGCTGCCCGGGTTTGTGTCCCTTCTGGTTAGTCTCCGGGGTGGACAATCGCATAACTTTCATTGCACCAAACTCTGCCTGAAACCAGAGACTCTGCCATCCCTGATGATTATCCCGGGAGCTCTGCCCAGGGCTCACTGACAGTGACTCTGGGGGGTTGTCACTTGATGAGGGCTGGCGTGTGGGTAGGATCTAGGAGAAGGGAGAGAACTCCATGTGAGCCTGATCTCTGGGGTTTGGCTGGGAACTCTTGTCCACATCGAGCAGTAGAGGTGAGAAACTAACACAGGGTAAACTTTAACCCCCCTCCCCCACCCTGGCAGCCAGCTAACAAGGGCAACTATCTCCAGGCTGGGGGAGAGTTGCAGTGGATAGGGAACCAGGCTGGGAGCCAGGACGCCTAGGTTCTGCTCCCAGCTCTGCCGCTGACATTACTGTGTGATCTTGGGCAAGTCAGTTCCCCCCCTTTGTGCCTCAGTTTCCCTTGTTCATAAAGGGCTTTGAGATCCTCTGATGAAAGGTGTTAACCAGTCCCCATGTGCTTGTTTCTTCACCCTGTTTCCGCCTGCCTGAGAGATGGGGCCAGATCTGAACTCTGGGAACTAGCCTATTTCAACACTGACCCCACACCGTAAAACCACCTCCCCCCTCATCCCTATGTCTCCAGTGGCTGACACCCTTCCCTTCCCTGTGTCATCATCACTCATGGCTTCTCCCTTCCCGCAGGATGCTACGCTAAGAACTTCGGGCCCAAGGGGTTTGGCTTCGGGCAGGGAGCCGGTGCGCTCATCCACTCAGAGTGAGCCGTCAGGATTGGCATCTCCGCCTCTCCCCTGCAGGGCCGAGCGCTTCGCCGATACCAGGCTCGTCCAGACCGACCTTCAATCGTGGATCAAGACAGCCCGGTCCTTCCCCCACTTCCTGCCAGTGCTTCTGTCAATAAACTCCTGCTTATTCTAACTAGACCACCACCCACTTGTCTGCTGGTTTCCTGACCCAAAGCTCACTGAACTAACAGGAATCTTCCTGTTGACAGCCGTGGGCTTTGTCTCAGGAGTGAACAGCCCTAGCATAGGCCAAATGGCCTTGATGCCCTCACACGCTCGTGCAGAGAACTTTCCACGCAGCTGGGGAGTGTCACTTTGTAGGTAATAGGCTCACCTGTGAAACCTGGGTGCTCTGGGGCTCTGAATGCAGCCAGCCATTGGGACGTCAGAGGTGTATAACAAGCCTTATTCGATCGTTCCTAGATGTAAAAAAATCAAAGCTGGCAAATGATTGGGGCTTGTGGGTGGGTTATTGTTCCTCTGGAGACAGAGGGAGACAGAGATCCAGTGACTGATGTGAGCGAGAGATAGCGGGAGAGGAGAATATTTTTTAAATTGTGTATTGTATTAAAAATACTAATTAGAGGGACAGTCCAATATAAATCACCAGCCAGCTCCTCAGTGGTGTACATCGTTATAGCTCCATTGACTTCAATACAGCAATGTGAGTTACATCCTGGTTCTAAATCTAGTAAACTAGTGCGCTTTCAAAAGTGGCCACTGACTCAGATTGCCTCAGGTCTGGGGGGCCGACAGGGTGCTGATCTCTTTCAGAACCACTGCAGCTCCCACTGATTTCAAAAGGGTACTTGGCACATCTGAGACTCCAGACCCAGTGTTCCTAAAAAAACGATGCCCAGCGTCACTGGCTAACTTGGAAACATTTGGCCCAGATTTCTCTTCCCGCATTACTAACAGCACCGTAGCCTATTAACGCGAGAGCGTAGAAACAATCCAACTTGCTTTTCACTGTTTGCCACGGTTTTGTGTTTCTCTCAGCTTGAACATTGAGGTCAATTTCATGCTTGTTTCACAGTTGATGCCGCAGTGTTTGGGTTGAAAACTCTGCCCAGAAATGTTTGTATGTTTTTAAAAAAACCAGGGCCAGTTTTGCCTTCAGTTACAGTGCTGTATGAACAAACTTTCCCCAGTACAGTTCTCATTATGGGGCTACAGGTGCGGCTTTGCTTTGATGGGCTCAGATGCCATCTTGAGCAGAATAGAAAGATGCAAAAACTGAGCAAGGAATAATAGAACATGGGATCACACAGAGCATTCTATGGGTTTATACCTAAAACTTCACTAATTCACTGGGCATCATTCCTTCCCTTCACGGTGTTACCTGGGCAAAGATCACAGCTTTCATTTCTCCTGTTTCCTCCTGAAGCAGAGATGTCTAGGATTCCACATACCTTTTCCACAGTGCAGGAGAAACATTATGTTGCAATATTTCTACTGTATGTGCCATGTATGAGGATTTTGTTCAAGCAAAATTATGTATTCAATAAAGCTCTGAGAATGAGGCTTTTGTTCAGTCTCTTCTTTCCCTAGCAATAAGAGGAGGGATTAGTCACGTCAGAGGGGAAGCTCCTTCTTTGGCTTCATGTGAAACTGACTCTGTAGGAAGGGAACAGGCTGCTACTTTTAGAGAGCTGGATCAAAGCTACTTTATTACCCCACTGCTTGGGTCATCAGCAGGATTTGAACCTGGGACTATCAGTGTTATACTATTAGCTACTTGTATCTCCTCTAGCTGATAGCACTACTAGACTCTTACTAGGAGCAGCATATGGGGGAGACAGGCCATATGCTGTGCTAAAGTAGGTTATACTGTATTAATTAGTCGGATCACAAGTGGCATGAGTTTAATCTCACCCTAGGGCCCCAATTTCTCCACCCCACTGATGCCCAGTCTGTGGGCATCTAAGCCCAGGACAGGAGCGACTCTGAGTCAGGCCTGGGCTGCAATAGCAGAACTACCTGGCTTATCCCTCATTAACTTCAGTCCCAAGCACTGCAGCGTGTGTAAGGGACCCAGGCTGGAGCTGCTGCCCCCCAGCGGGTTCCAGGGGTCTGGATCCTGCATTCACCATCTTCACCTGTTTCCCAGGAGCTCTTTCCATCACGGCTCTGGCATCAGAGCGCTCCGTGGGGAGGTGCAGGGCTCTCACCCCAGCTGTGCAGTCAGGCCCCTCCTCTTACCCCAGCAGCAAGCGGAGGCAGCTTGTCTCCCTAATGGCGCCGGCAGAGCTCTGCAGGAAGGAAGGAATGGAGCCTGGCTAGCAGGGCCGGCTCTAACTTTTTTGCTGCCCCCCCCGCCGAGCGCCGCACCGCACGGCTGGAATCCCCCCCCCCCGAGCGCCGCGAACCGCGCTGACCCCCCGCCAACTGCTGCACCGCCGGAGCCAGCTCCCACGCTGAGCACTGTGCTGCCGGACCCTCCCCCTGAGCGCCGTGGCCCGTGCCGCCCCCGCAGAATGCTGCACCGTGTCCACGCTGCCCCCGCCGAGCGCCGCAGCCACCCCCCCCCCCCGAGTGCCCCCCGCCGAGTGCCGCGCGCCGGAGCGCCCCCGCGGAATGCCGTGCCGCCCCCCGCCACCCCAAGATTGGCCGCCCCTTACTAGGTGTCGCCCCAAGCATGTGCTTGGTTGCCTGGAGCCGGCCCTGCTGGCTAGTGACAGGGTGTGCTCTCCTCGGGACACCACAGTAACAACAAGACGTCTCCCTCTGCCTGCCTGGTTGTGCAGCAGCAGGGCAAACGCCCCCACAGCTGTTTGTGGTGCCGAGGTCAGTGCTCTACGGGGGACAGCTGCCCCTGCTGTCAGAGCACAGCGAGGACACTGCTGAGAACAAGGCTGAATGGGTCTCATTTGCCCCCAAGAGATCTGTCTAAAGCCCAGCTGCGACATGGGGGTATTGACACTGACGGAGATCTACAGATGGACGGAGCGGTACGTGTGCTAATACTCAACCTAATACCGGTAGGCACCCTCTGTGCTAAAGAGAGGCCATGGGAAGCCACAGGTCGGGGTTCAGAGGCAGCAACACAGTTGTGTGGGTAGCCCAGGGCTGGAATAGCAGGGGGCTGCAGGTCAGGATTGAGGTCAAGGGCTGTGTGTGGCTCGGAACTGAAAGGGGGGGGCTGCAGGCCAGGAGCGAGGGGCACTTTCAGAACAGGGGTGGGGGGAAGAGTTGCAACACCTCTGTGGGGCTTTAGGCCAAAGGTTTGGCTCCTAGCTGGACCCATAGACCTTTTTGTGGTAAATGGTATTGGTTTCTTTGCCAAGTTCCCAGCCACCACCAAGGGGCAGGGTATGCCAGGCCCTGATAATAGGACTTGGTAAAGCACAAGGCTGGGGGTGATGTCCAATCTACCGTGCCCTTCAGTTACCCTGGCACAACTGGGGCGGATTGACGTGAGCTCTGATCCCTGGCTCCATGACAATGATGGGAAGTTGTCCCTAAACCCACTGGCAGCGGTGTTAAGTGACTGACTCCATTCGGCTGCTCCTTGGGAAGGGAAGGGCTGAGGAAATTCAGAATCTGAACCCAACAGAGTTGGGTGAGTGTCTGTGCCCTCTGCTGGCAGACTCCTGGGCACTGCAGGCTGAGATACCAGGAGGAGCTCCAGGGTACCTAGGCATTAGATAGGGAGGGAAGGTGGCTGGGAATTTTCCCACGGAGTACATCTGGATCAGAAGGTTTCTCAGGTGCAGATGGAATTTCGAGGGGGATGGGTAGAGAGAGGCCAACTGACCCAAAATAGCCAATAGCCCAAGGGCTAGGGCCATCACCTGGGAGCACTGGTTTGTATCAGGCAGAGCAGATCCCCTACATGCCAGATGAGGGCCATAACCACTGGTCTATTGGCTTTTTAAAAAGATCTTGGTTCCTTGCTAGACAGAACAAAACCAAATCCCCAGCTCTGATGTTTTTTGTGAAAGGGAAGTGGCATTTTCCAGCCAGCTGTAATGGGGAGGTCACTTAAGAGTCTGGCACGTGTCTGTTCAAAGCAAGCTTCTTTCCCCCTTGGGTAGGAAGGATGCCCCAGTTGTTAGTGTGTGAGCCTGGGAGTGGGGAGACCTGGGTTTAAGGCCCTGCTTTGCATAAGCTGGGGCACGTCCCTTAGCCTTGCTCTGCCTCAGTTCCCCAGCTGTACAATGGAGCTAATAGCCCTCACCTCACGAGTGCACAAAGGTAAATGTATTACAGGCTCTGAGGTGCTCAGATACTTCTGCACTGGGGGAAAGATAAGCACATGAGCCTGATTCAGCACAAATGCTGGCAGGTTTCACAGGCTGGGCCAAGGCTGGCTGGGGTTGGTTTGGCCCATGTACATTGTTAGGTCTGTGCATGAGGCCCAAGGAGATGGGTGGCTATGCAGGTGTTAGGGCCAATGGAGACATTTGCTGTATTATCTCCACACCGGGGGAGACCTCATCAGTCAGTGCCTCCAAGAGACAATGCACTTTCTCAGGGCTGTGCTCTTGGTTCCCTGGGCAGTCCTGGCCCCCCGGCATGCAAAGCCATGCTAACCTAACTGGGGAGCCTCCTTCCTTTGCTGTTTTGCCCTGCAAATCAGAGTGGCATTGCCATGGGGCAGGGTGATAGCAGTGAAGCAGGGTGTTACTGCCACCATCTCAGGCATCGCTGTTTGTGTTGTGGCACCATGTCTATAGGATCCCATGCTCTGGGTGTCCCTAAACTGCTGACTGCCAGAAGCTGGGACTGGACAACAGGAGATAGCTCACTTAATAATTGCCCTGTTCTGTTCATTCCCTCTGAAGCACCTGGCATTGGCCACTATTGGAAGGCAGGACACTGGGCTAGATGGAACTTTGGTCTGACTCAGTGTGGCCATTCTGATGTTCTGATCTGATCTCTTGAGAACATTCACAATAGGCCAATGGGCTAAGATCTTTCTCTAGTACTCCCCTGCCCAGCAGTCAGGGCTGTGGTTTTATATCTGGGTTTTCATTGCTTTCTTTCGTACCCCTCTCCTTCCTCCTCTTTCTCTCCCTTCTAGTTTTCACCTCTTTCCTCCTTTTTCTTTCTCTCTCTCTTCTTTGCTGCATTGCATTATGGCTGTGGGAGGGCCGAGTCCTGAGTCCTGCTGTGGGCTGACCTCGCAGTGCAATGACATCACCCAACCGTGTGATGAGCTGTGACATCGCAATGTGGTGACACCATGCTATGGCAGGGTGACCTCACGGACCAGGAGTTTCGCTTCTTAATCCACTGCAGGGCAGATGAAGTGTTACTGAGAGCATGGCACGGATGCATGGCAGCTGCAATACTGGAAGAGTCAAAGGTGGCCACATCCCAATTCCAGATCACCGAGCAGGCTCTCTGGATTTCCTGGTGACAATGGGACAGTTACAGGTCTCTGACACCAGGTGGCACTGTGGAGTCATTGCAGAGAAGGGCCCTGCTCTGTTCAGTTCCCATAAGGGGTGATTGTATTGCAGGCCAGGAGTGGGGAATTTGAGGCCCAGGGCTAGATAGATTTGGGAAGGAAGAAGCCATTCTGAGCTCTGGCTGCAGCTCATGTGGGGGCATGCTGTCATGAGTCGGCACCAGGGTGTGATGCTCTGGCATTGTCACAGAGTGCAGGAGGTGCGGCCTGTCCCCCTGCTAACCCGGACCTGGCCTGTGGTGTAGGGGATAGACCATAAAACCACAATCCAACCCTTACGAGTGCCTGGGTCTTCCCAAGTTGCAGTTGCTTTGTTGCTGCTTCTCATGACCTCGAGGACTAATGATCACCCTAAACTTCATGGGCTCCCCTCCCCTGCAGCTCTGGCGATGCCCCTAAATCCCAACCCACAGCCCCCTGCTGCTCTGGTCCTGCCCTCCTTCCCCCAGTTCTGCCAACACGCCTCAGCCCTGCTCTGCTATTGCAGCCCTGGGCTGCCCACACACAGCTCTGTTATGGTGCCAGCTCCTTGCTGCAGCCCCCAAATCTAACAGCCAGGTACCTGCCAAGGTCCAACTGACACTGTAGAAATGTTCTGTGCAACAGCCCCAACCATGGTTAAACGCTGGTCAGACATGCAGCGCCCTGTGCCTGGTTCTTACTATAACCTTGGCTTATAGGCTGGGTCAGGGACTTCATTTGGTCCAGTCTATGCTGCAAGATCAAACCTGTGTGGCGGGGACACAACGGTAAAGTGTGGGTCGGGTCCCTCTTGATTGACATAGAGGATAACCTACTACCGCTGGCAGCCAATGGTCCTTTAGCTCACATAGGAAAGGTGTGTGCTTGAGTCTTGGGTTCAACTCCTGCAGCGGGTTGTAATGTAGGACAGGGTAGGTGGGACTGAAGTTAACCCGAGGAGGCCTGCTCATGCTTTTGGTTACTCCAGATTTACCCCATGTAAGTAAGGGAGGAACTGGCCCTTGGAAACACTAACTAGTTCTTGGGTACAGCTTCCGCTGGGATTTGCGGCCCCAGCCCTTTTAACAAGGGGTAATTAGCCGTGTCTCACTCTTATCACAGACTTGCAGCTCTGGCCATATCCAGTGGCTGCCCTGGGGGTGACGATGGCTGGGAAATGTGGGGGAT